TTAGAATACCTCCGTCGGAAAGTCTTAGATTGGTAATGCTCTCATATTCTCTGCGTGAATGATTTTATATACTCATCTGTTTCCGTCGTCGTAAGTCGCCATTCAGCATACATTGTCCTATACAACTTCTTTATTAAAACCGTCACAACACAACTATATCAATGCCTGCACCTAGTTTGGCTCTGCTGCATGTTTCGCCTATTAAAAGCCATCATCAGGCAAATACATGGCCAAAATATATACAACCACTGAACTGCAGTACTAATGAAAGTGGATACAATAATATTAATTACTTGGCATAAAAAGCAATAAATTAGATTATATAAAACAAAAGTTATAATTTAAAACAAGAATAAAATTCTTCCATTGATGCTTTACATCATCGAGTCAGTGGTTGGTTTTTTTGTGATTTTGTTGCGTTCCCAAGGAGAAATTGGAGTGTTCTATATTTTGTGTATAATAAACTATTATTGGAGGCTCGTGATGTAGATGTAGTAATATTAATGTTAATTATTTACTCGGTGCCTCATCTTACAAAGTAGTGTCCGTTCTATAGGGAATGTAAATAACGACGTTGTCCTGTTTATGTTATGACGTAAATCGGGATCTTTAAATTAAAATCTTTATGTTTAATTTCTGATTTATTTACCTCCGCTTTTAGTAACTCGGGGAATGATGAAACGATTTCTGAATAATGGAAAAAATTTGGAAGGAAGCTGTCAAAGCCAAGTCGAAGTAGATTCCTCGAATTTGGCTGGGGGGAACTTGCGCCTTGTAATCTAGCCCTTCGACCCTACCGTTTTTCCACCCCTAATCCAGGCGCCCCATCGAGCTACCCAACGACGGGTTATATCGTTCTTCAACGCCTATGCCCTCTTTAGTCGGCACATGGAATATTTACAGTAAGAGAGAACATGTTTGTAATTCCCAAAGCCAATTCCGAGCGGGAAGGGATTATGCATTTCCCTTCTTCTGTAATCAGATTTCAGGCAACTGAATTATGTAATGAAATAAGCCTGTTGTCATCGGCAATGCCGGATCTCATACAGAGCCCCTGTCAGAAGTACTAATCATTTTTTTAATTAATCATTAGAAATGAAGTCCGCTGGAAAATATAAACAATCTCACCCCGTAACCCGCCCATTTCTGGCTGAGAGATGAGTACGCCCCAACTTCGATTGTGAGACCCTTAGTTAGTTAGTTAGTTAGTTAGTTAGTTATTAGAGAGGGTGGGTTTCCCCATGCACTTAGACCTGTAGTGGTCCATTGTGCTTCCCTCTATGATTTCTACCAGTCTCTATATCCTACCGGTATTGGTGCTTACCATCAGTCCCACCCAGCCAGCGAGACCGGCTCTACTGGCTGAGAAGTATCTATAATGCTTCCCCCATCTACCGGAGGTATTAGTGACTGCTGTTGGGCGGGAAACGTCCGCAGTTTTGGCTCAGTGATCTCCTTTGGACGTATGAGGTTCTTTTACGTGCCGTAAAGCTACGACACGGTACCCACGGCTTAAAGTCCCTCCCAGAGGACTTGTTCCCTGAATTTTTCCGCCCTTAAAAATTCGACGACCTCCGCCGGGTATTTGAACCCGCGTACTACGAGTCATGAAGTGGGAACGTTACCTCTAGACTACGGAGGCCGCTTTGTGAGACCCTTAGTATGGACTTTAAGAAGACCATGTCAGCTTCCTTCATTGTAGTTTTTTTTTTAATTCTTTGGGTGACGTGAGACTAAGTCCACTTGCAACATCGGCCACTAACGGGCCTATTTTACTAGCCCCGGATGATAGGTGATGGTGACTTTGGTGCAATCAGTGAAATTAAGATTGGCAGGGGAAACGGAAGTACTCGGAGAAAACCTGCCCCACTACCACATTGTCCACCATAAATCCCACATGTCCTGTCCTGGAACCCGCGCAGTCGCGGTGGGAAACCGGCAACTAACTGCATGAAATATGGCACGGCCTGATTGTAAGTTTATGGGCCATTTAAATTTTGAGATTTTCACGGTTGTAAAAATCAGTGTTGTGCTCCTCTTGGTTATGATAAAAAAACTCCCTGACTTGAGTCCGCAAGCGAACTATACTGACCGAACGACCGCTGCTTGTCGACGAAGTTAATGGCAACTTTAGCGGATAGAGGGTGTCACGTGGTCAGTGCAACGAATCCCCACGGTTGGTAATCTCGGTTTTCTAGAGCGGAACTTCTGTTTCCTTGAAATAACGCTTTAATTATCCTCATGAGGCTGAGTGAACCCCTTTTCAGACCCACTACTTCTCAGAAAATCTGGTAGCGCCTGGAATCGATTCCTGACCACTGGATCTATAGGCAGTAACTCTGACCACTAAACCACAGAGGAGGTGATGATACGTTGTTTAAATCTGGTAATAGGATACCAACATTTAGGAAGCACATACTGCCTCCGTCTTCAGGGTGTAAGACTGTGACATAGCGTTTTATGTCGCATTACCAACATTTGATTTATCCAGATTGTCCGTTAATTCGTTACTCATATCATAGACTTCGCCTTTAGTAACGGGGGGGAAGCAGGATTCTTGTACTTCATTCTTATGTCTTCTGAGATTTTATGTCGTGCACTCTGATAGATGCCATTGACGTTTCTGAGGAAGATACTGCCTGCATCTTCAGGCTTGAAGGCTAAGCCAAGGCTACAAACGAGGAAGCGGAAAGACGATATATCACGAAACGTCGGTAAAATTATAGTAGAGTACACGATGTCACGTCGCAAAAGATCATGATGCCAGTGTCCTCTCGCTCAATAAGTAAGAGATTACATTATTAAAATGTTTCAGTACTCAATATCAAAGTGAACATTTGAATAACAACTGCAAATATTGTATTTGTAAAATCAATACAAAGTCCGTCGAGTGTAACAATGTTTTTTTTTAGGTCAGTTCTTTCTCACTCTTGCCTTACATGTTTCGGTTTTAGTAAAACCATCTTCAGAGGCACATGGTACTAACAAGAAAACACTGGCGTTGTTTAACTGTACACAGNTTTTAATAGTGATGTTTTAACGCGAGGGCAACTTCGGATGGAATGCGAAGGTTGAACGTGCATTCTGTACGTGCATTCAGTACTCCAAGCTAGTGTTGTGCTTTTACACATCGACATTTGTAGCAGTGCCCACACAGCATATATACTGTGTACAGTTAAACAACGCCAGTGTTTTCTTGTTAGTACCATGTGCCTCTGAAGATGGTTTTACTAAAACCGAAACATGTAAGGCAAGAGTGAGAAAGAAGTGACCTAAAAAAAAAAAACATTGTTACACTCGACGGACTTTGTATTGATTTTATGCATAATAGTGTAACGGACCAAAATGAAACAATTCAAAATTGTATTTGTAGTTGATACCGAACGTTATTTTGCCTTCCCGCAATTAATGCGCATTTCTGGCTGTCGTCACAACCTATACAATTATTACTAATTACATGACCAGTAATTTAGCTACTTGTTTCAACCTTCCCTCTCGTAATCGAGCAATAAATTGAACGGGAAATCCCACCATTGCTCATATAAACTCTTATACTGTCAATTTGCCCTTGCTTTCTCCCATATCCATTTGAATGTAAATGATGAATTGGAAAGAATTTGGAAGGAATCTACCATGGCCTACTGAAGATATAATCCCGGAATTTGTCCGGAGTGACTGAGGAAACACAAGAAATTTACATCTTTATTCTCGGTGTCCCTGTTGAAATTCGAACTGAATATTAGTTTGGTGCGTGTCAAGAGCGCTACCGCTGCTGTAAGCAGCTCGGTTACTGTGATTTCTCTTGTGTGCACTAATGTTTTAATGTCCTGTGAAACTGCTGTAGCAAGGGTCTTGTTAATTTTGTTTCATCTGGTGTTTTGTTGTTTATTAGTTGGTCTTGTCGTTTTGGACGCTGGTGTGTGGTTCATACTGGCCTTACGGATCATTTGTCCATGTAGGATATAATAGAAGCCTATTAACTGGAGCTATGATGTTTCATAGAAATTTAAACTCAATCTACAGGGTGATTCACTCGGAGAAGACTCCGAATTAATTATAAATCGCGCAGTAATTTACGGACAAAGATGAAACCTGACGAGTACGTGGCTCGGTGAGTGTGAAGGTAATTGTGTTGCGGAAGATTTCGAAATTGATTCCCTGCGCCTAGAAACACATGCCGACCCTCCACATTCGCGTGCGTTGCAGCCAGTATGGCAAGAAAGATGGCAGCACTTGCGGAAATTTCGCGAATCGAGCATGTAGATCAATGTTTACGTAGTATAGACAATGTTGCCACGTTTCGATTTTGTTGGTAAATTATTTCGTGATTTATAATTATTTATTCGGGGCCTCCTCAGATTGAATCGCCCTGTATAAGAAATTAGTGCTGTATTTAAAAAAATGGCCTTGTATAGGAAGCCTGTTGTTAATGTTGCAAACCTTCCGAGCAGAATGTCAGACAGGTGTTTTCAGTGGCAGCTCGTTTGTCAGTGACTGCTAGTTTGTCGGAATTCGGTACTGCCAGGGACTGATGTCTGTATTAACAACTGTCAGAAGCTGTCAATATGAATTCAGTTCTTCTATCAGATGTTACTAGAAGCTGCTTCTTTGTTTAGAAATGTTAGGTGTTAATTTTGACCTCCAGTGTCACAGTTTCTGGGCATCAGAAGCGGCTCCAATCTTTCATGAGTTGAATGTCAGTGGTGTCTAACTTCAGTGTTGGCCACTTTGTCTTTCCTTATCGATGTTAGTAGCGGCGTCTATTGACAGAAGTGGCTAACTTCAATAGCAGTATATCAGTCAGCTGATATCAGCGGCGACTCATGTGTTCAATGTTTGTGGTATTGCAGCTTGTCTGTCTGAAGTAGAAAATGTCAATGATTGTCATTATGTTACATTTTATTAATTCCAGTGGCGGCTCCTGTTTTAGTGATGACTATAGTCAGTGGCGGCTGGTTTATCTTTAGTTGGCAGTTACCAAATGTTTGTGTTGCTTGCAGAACCGTCTCCACTGTATGATAACAACCACTATCACGAGGAATGTCTGCGCTGCAATTCGTGTGGTCTGAACCTGACGGGCCCGAACCAGAAAAGGGCGCGTCGCTTCAAGAACCAGATCCTGTGTGACCTACACTTCGCGGACGTCGCCCTCATGGAATGCTCTGATTTCATGCAGCAGCTCCGCAGTTTCAAGCCGCAGAGTCTGGGCTGTGCTGTGGCTAGGAGGAAAAGCTCCACCACCCTTATCTTCCCGCTGCCCCCACAAGCCTGTTCCGGTAAGTAAGGAACACATTTCCTTACACTAGTTAGCGATGGTCGTTCTGCGGAAGAAATGATATGTGATTAATTTTGTCTTGGCAAGTCTCTTAGTCTATTAGTGAGGGGTTTTAAACCATATATTTTTTTTTATTGCTAGTGGGGTGGGACTAAGTCCCTTGTACTGCGGCCACTTTTGGCCTATTGTACCTGCCCCAGATGATAGGTGAGGGTGATTGTGGAGCAATTGGTGGAATGAAGATTGGCAGGAGAAACCGAAGTACGCGGAGAAAACCTACCCCAGCGCCACACTGTCCACGAAAAATTCCACTTGACCAGACCCGGGATGGAACCTGGGCCACCGCGATGGGAAGCCAGCGACTAACCGCTTGAGCTATTGCGCGGCCCCATTTAAACCAATTCTTCTATTTCTTCTTCCATCAAATTTAGATGCGTTTTGTAAGCAACCGCGAGGCTTCAGAAATTATAATCTTTCTTCATTATTGTTCTTTATACTTAAGCCGTTTTTATTATGTTCTCTACATTTAGCTTGTCTAGTTTTCAGCCTACTTTCCTTATTTTGGAAAAAATAAGACGAGACTTATAAGATTACCATGCTGTCTGTGTGTCTCTGTCCCCCTTTATCGTTGCTCGGCAGCGGCTCGTTACATATATTCTTATGGTAACAACTACACATACAGCTATACAAGAACTGTGGGACACGGAGTTTCCATACTTCACTTTACCAGGCAGGCAGGCGTCAGGCGATCAGTTCTTCCCAGAACCTCTTGTTCATATTCCTTTCTCCTAGTTCAGTACAGCCGTGACGCTATGGGCCTGTCGTCGGAAGCCACTCCCGGTCTCGGACAAGATACCAGTTATCCTCACAGGTCTTTGTCATTTAAATTCTCCACACATGTGCTTGGATAATACCTCGAGTAGGCCACGACACTTCATCCTGCATCCATTCCAATTCATTATTTCACCAATCATCATACCATTTGACGCTATATAGTATCATATACTGATAAGGTTGAGAATTGAACCATAACAAAAAGTTCTGGGAAGAACTATTTGCCCACTTCCCTTCGATACGACATGGACCGCATAGAAATCGACGCATCCAGCAATTGTTCGTTGCTACAGTGTCGTCTTTATTCAGTTGTTACCTAGTAATGATGAGGGGATACGCAGACCCACAGGCATATGCATCCAAAAGTCTTCTATTTTTGCGTGTATTCTTTGCCGCGAGAACGTGTTTACCCTGCCGTTACCTAGCATGAAAAGAGACTTTACGTAGCCGTTGCTTAGTAACGATAGGAGGGATACACACAGACTGATGGGAGGGATTTATGAACTACGCCGTTGAGATGGGCTCAGATTCCATGATGTACATGCCAAGTTTCATAAAGACTGGTTCAGACATTCAGAAATTAATAGGAGGGATACACAGGGAGCATGGAGATCACATAAGCCTAGTTTATTTTTTTCCAAAAATATCTCTTTATTCTCCTTTTCTTCCTTCTCTTACTCTCCACTGCTTCTTCCTCTTAATCTCTTCTTTTTCTTTTCAGTGTTCTAATTAACTCAGAAGTATATTCAAGGTCTGAAAGGGTTGAAAATTTACCCTCTACAAAAATATTAAAGCTGTATTTACTGTCATTCTAAAAAGAATCGGTGACTCTACAGAAACCTCAGCTACATTGTACCAATTTCCTTACTGCACAGCTTGTAATGTAGCTGCATAGGGAAACGCGTCAAGCTAGGTCTCATGGCCTCCACATAAAATGAAAGTAACGTGGAATTTCAAGTGGAGCTAATGGAAACTAGTTTCTTATTGATATGACGTGTAGCACTATATGTCTATTATTATTATTGTTATTATTATTATTATAATTATATTTTTTGTTTGATTGACAAACCTAATTAGCAACTGATTCCGCCATGTTATATCCGTCATGCATAAATTCAAAGAGGCGCATCGTCGCCATGTTTATAATCTTTAACATATATGCAGTATCTGACACACAATCTCTAAGGATGCGCATAGTCTGTCTGCATGCCAATTTGCGCATGCCTGGCTGTAATCGTTTATCAGTTAGCTTCAATGGACTAAGAGCTAAAGAAATTGTTCTCACAGCGTCATATTTTTTTCACATTCTACAAGAAGGTCTCCTTAACAGTCTTCCGAGATGTTACCATACATCATACTGGGACTTCATAGTAAGTGACGCTAGTGTTACTCATCCGCCATGTTATCATTACAGTTTGTAGGAAATTATAACTTGTAAAGTGTTCTGTGTTCTGCGATATATGCCTTAAGGCGCGTCCACATTACTCGTCCTCTTGCTCTTGCTCGTGTGACTCGCTATGCTCGCGAGTAATGTGGACGCGCCTTTATAGTCTGATGAAAGTCAGCTGATGTCTTCGAGGGACAAGTGTTCTCCATCTTATTGCGTGCTTCATGCTGATTTCTTGCTTTGCTTATTCTCTTAACCTGGAGGTAGAGGCGATATAATCCTCACAAACCTCGGTTTACAATCACCGGATTGCATGATGTTATATCTCATAAAATATATGTATTCATAACCATGATTATGAAAACCAGACGTCTGTCTTAAAAAAATATTTTGTGTTCAACCCCATTTGCATAATCTTCATACCAAGCTTTGTGATTATGTTATTATTATTATTATTATTATTATTATTATTATTAGAAGGGATGGGTTTCCCCATGCACTTAGACCAGTTACTGGTTCATTGTGCGTCCCCCTTTTTAATTTCTACTGTCGCCATACCCTACCGGTACTGGTGCCTTCTATCAGCCCCGTTCAGCCAACGAGGTCGGCCCTCGGTACCTGATATTTCCCCCATCTATCAGAGGCATTGGAAACTACGTGTACTTGGGCGGGAAATATGTTGCCTAATTTTGCTCAGAGGTCTCCTAGAGACATGAGGATCTCTTACATGCCGTAAATCTACGACACGGGACCCACGGCTTAAAGTCCCTCTCGGAGGACTTGTTCCCTGAATTTTCCGCCCTTAAGAATTCCACGACCTCCGCCAGGTTTGAACCCGCGTACCTTGAGTCATGAGGTGGGAACGTTACCCCAAGTTCGATACTTTAATGATGCTCTCAGTTCTGAAACTGCATGTCGTCGGTAGTAGAATGATTAATGAATATGGAGCAGTCAGCGAAATGAGAATTTGCAGGGGAAACCGAATACTCTGAGAAAAACTGCCCAAATGGCTTTTTTTCCCACTACAAATCCCGTACGATTTGACCTGCGATCGAACCCAGTCCGCCGCGGTGGGAAGCCGGCGATAAATATGTACCTTATCACCATCTAGTACCACAAGACAATAATCATATAATTAAATTCTTTTTTTATAGAAATAATTTCACTCCATCCGTTTTTATGCCTTCTTTCCTTGAGGAATCGAGATAACTCAGTCGCTAACCAGGACTACGGGGTAGACGCCCGGGGTTCGATTCCCAGGATGGGCAGTATTTTTCTCTTCTGCATAGCGTTCAGACAGTCTTTGGGACCCACCCAAACACCTCCTATCCAATTACTACTGGGAGATTTTCCCCTGGGTTAAAGCGGCCGGGCCGTGAAGCTCACCGCTCACCTCCATCTAGTACCTAAGTCAAGAATGGTGGAGTTATACCGCTCTTCTCCCATATGTGTTCACGGCATAATGCTCAATTAGTTAAGCACAGGGCCTATTGTTTCCTTAAAGTAAATTTATAAGTCGTGTGTTTCAAAATACAGCCCTAAACACTGGATGTTTCTGAGATTGAAAACCTTGTGTTTAAACATGTATAAATCGAGGTCCAGCCCAGTAAAATGATGCTGGTTCTCGCCAGCACAGTCGTTCCTGTTTGCGAACCCCGTTGGGACCCGTGACCATATATTTGTTCTTTCTAGACTTTTACGTGTTTTAAAATTGGGGCCTCATCTTCGGCCAGAGAAGGTGTCTGGCTGTTATTGGTCACTCACCCTCTACTGTGGAGTGGCTGCTGGCTGTCACTCACTCACTGATTCACTCAATCGTTTCTCACCAAATCGAGGTATGCATGTTGTTCATCATATATGTTTACAATGCTTAAATATTTAGTAGCTCATTGTTAACAAGACTAAAAACAGGAATTTTACAAGGCTCCGTAATGTTCTACACTTCCTGTGCTGACATTCCCGCCTGTTCATTCAGTATACAGTTTGATCTGCGTGTTACATGATTGGCGGTTGTATGATCCAGTATGCCGTGACATGTATTACGTACAGTATAATGCGGTAATTAGCCAGTCACAATTCCGTGTTTATATGGCAGCTAAGCAATCACACGCCATCCAGCCGCCATTTAATGTGCGCCTGTGATTTCGTAATCTAACGTTGGTAGGTGACGAATTCTGTAAAGAAATTCGGCCTCCCTTACGATATATATATTTAGCGACATAAGCATGTAGACGTCAATAAACGAGTATAGAACTAGGAGATTAATTAAATATCTAGTCCGATGTAAAGCAATTTTCTTGATAATGTAGTTTTACGAAATTAACCTAGTTTCACTTACTCGACAGTTCCTTAAGTGTTTAAGTGTTCACAGTAACCAGCTGCTGGACTCAGTCCTGAGCCGATCGAATCTCGTCCTCAATCTCATTTCATCTTTGTTGAATATCAATTTTAATATTAGTTTTCTACCTACGCCTTTACCTCCCAAGTTGACTCTTCCGTCGAGTTTTCCGAACAGAAAAGTTGCATGTATCACCTCATGCGTGCTGCATACCTCACCCGCTACATACTCGTTGTTATGAAAACCCAATTTATTTATTTATTTGTTTATTTATCGACGCTTTCAGTAGCTCACTCTATATTCTGACTAATGGTGGGATGTTTGGTGAATAATGAATTGGAAAAGACATGGAAGGAAGTGCTCTTTGCTTAATTGCAGAATTATTCCGGCGTTTTGAGTGGAGAAACCGTGAGAGAAACCACGAAGAACTCGGGACCTTCGG